GTACGACAGGTGCGCAAATAAACTCATTAGCATGCTCAGTCGCATGTAAAAGGCAGATGATTTCGGAATTCACTTCATCAACAGCGCCATCGTCACTGTCATCTCTGGAGGCAACATCTCTCGGTTTAATCTTTATTATTTTATCACTTTTATAGAATCGAGCTCTTGCGAACTACTTTGAGCACTGTCGTAGAGATATGCAAAGTATTTCCAATAGTGTAAGGAATTCACGAGATGTCGTACATTGGAAGAGGTCATTGCTTCGATTTTACGTTCCAAACCGGGCTCCCATCTCTCAAGGGTGGAATAATTGGTTCACGAATTGAATGGGAGTACAAAAACATTTTTTTGGCAATGTGCCACGGTGAAATGCGCAGACGAGCAAAAATCTTTTTTTATTTTTGCTACATTTTGTTTACTTTATATTTATATGTAATTCATGTCTAAGGTGGAAGCGCCAATAATCGACCTCGGTCCGTTACTCTACTGTAGACATATAGATGACTGCTTGGTAATTTGTTCAACGCAAGAAGAAATCGACAGATGTTTCGAGTTGTATATTTGGTTTTTCGTATTCGTTACGAATGTCGTTGAATGCTGGTTGCATCGATTTTCTCTGGAACTTTGAGATAGTCGTTTCAGGGCGTTCCTGCGTGGATTAGAGGTAGTGAACTTGTCGTGATTAAGTCTGATACGAATTTCCTAACTCCGGATACATGAGAGGCTGGTGGACTCTGCGCCATTTCGACATTGAATGGAATCACAACCACTGGACTACGCGCTTCCTTAATGATTTACACGTTATTTGATTTCCTCGAACACACGACACATCCTTAAAAGAGAAGCAGCACCAAACGCTCCAGCCTTCATCGATTTTTTGTCAAATTTACGAAGTCGGTTCATTTAGGGATGAGAGTTATTCCATTACTCCTCACTATTGTATTGGTGAAGTACTGCGACATTACTAATTGCAATACCGAAGTAAATGCTTTCTTGCTTGCTCCTCAAGAACATCTGAACACGAGTGACAGGCAGCTGACAAAATTAAAGGTAAAAAGTCTCTTGTAATATTGAACGTAAAAAAGCGGATACTTTTAAGGCGAGAATCGCCGCAAAGTCTCCCACCTTCAATATAACTTATTCGATATGAAAAAAAACACCAGTGAGAGAGCCAAGATTGTTTAAAGAGCTACAAAACAAAAGCAACCAAGAGTTCATGGTGCTTATTCACTTCCACAATTGCGCTGCCGTAAATTCTATAAATCACTTTATTCGTCTGACAGGTTATTGAAGCGAAATCGTTTGATTGCGGCCTACTGTCGAACAAACCGTATTTCAAGAACAGTTCTAAACCCGATTTTGGACGAATTATGCCTCAAAGTGGAATCGCCATGAGCCCTGAGTAATTCCCTAGATAGAGGATTCTACAAGCCTAACGCTCACAAAGTGCTATGATAAATTGTGTTCAGAGGAGAAGCCGAGCAGATCGTCGAAGGCGTCAAAAGTGGTGCTCATAGAAAAAGACAAGTGCTGAAGAATTTTCCTGGAATGGAATCGACTTGGAAGAATGGCGTGGTTTTCTATACGTTTAACACATCAAGTCAGCCTTTAAAGTATCGGAAATTAAGCGTTGGGAAGCACTAATTTCTTTACAATGACCCAATGATTTTGACGAGAACAATTTTTAAGTAAAAAATTACGGATAAAATGTCGAAGGATTGTAAAATTTCCATTATTATTCTTTACCTGTCGTATAGGGCGCGTGTGGCGTAGTGGTCGGATTCGCCCTGCGACACACACGTGAAATCGATCCGTGCGCCCATGACCCACCAAGCCTTCCATCCTTCCGGGGTCGGCAGATTGGTACTAAAGTTGTCTGGAAAGATAGCAGCACTGGCTCGACGCATCGGCAGGCCACCGCGAGTCATTGTAAAGGCCAGATATGCATTCAATCACCTTTAACGATACTTAATGAAGTCGAATGCATGGCACATCCCTCACGGATTGATTAGCGCCGAGAGTTGTATCCTTCACCCTTTTACCTCTTGTGTGCCAATACTCTGGTGTGCCAATGGGAAGTCTTTCATATAGTATACCTTTCACAATACTAGATGCTTTCTCGACTTTCCCCATTTCAAAGCCGTCAAAACCGCCCACTCTGTGCAAAGACTTAAGTTGTTATCGATCAGTCTTTTCAAATTTATTAATGAGTACAATCGTTTTTTAAAAGTGAAAGTTTCAGACCATGTCGTGCAAAAATTGTTTACAAAGGGGGCAAAGATATGGAGTGACGCCAGTTGTATCGACTTCGTAGAGGACAAAAATGGTCTGTCCTGAGCCTTGCGTTAAATAAATAAGTTGAGCTTTTTAAACAAAATTCTTGTAGCTCAAGACAAGGTGGTAGTAATCAAAGGCGATGGATGTTTTGCCAAGATTGGACGACGCGGTGGAGACCAGGTTCTTGCGCTTAGTGAGAATGTAACGGTACGATGCCCTCAAATAAACCAATCTAAAAGTAGCCGCTTTTTAAAATCACTTTTGGTCTAATCACACTTATTTGGGACACTAAGTTCGACATTCGTTTCAGGTAGGATTTGCTGTTCATGAAATTGGGCATGCTCTCGGATTTTTCCACACAATGTCACGATTTGATCGCGACAAATACATTAGAATCATCGTAGATAATCTTGATGTGAGTGAATTTAAAACCACTAGTCGTTGTAATCCTTAATAATGCTCATAATTTATTTCTAGCTAGACTTATGGAATGATTTCGCAGTCCTGGACGAGGCTTACACTGAGGTCTATGGACTCGCGTATGATTTCGGCAGTGTTATGCACTATAGCGAGCTAAGGTTTGTGAAACGTGGTTAAAAATTTCCGCCAAGCTAGCAACTGTTGTTTATTTTTCAGCGGTTCTATCAACACGGAACCGAGTATGATTTCAAGAGTACCGTTTTATCAAAAGACGATGGGATCTGAAATTATTTCCTTCTCCGATATCTTCGTGATAAACCAACATTACAAATGCGGTGGTCAGACATGGCAACACTTTGCAGAAGAACATGACAAAACATGGGAAAATAGGAATCATTTAGCAAAATGCGACATGGGCACGTCGGCCAAATGTGCGAACGAAGGATTTCCTCATCCTCGAAACTGTTCCATATGTATTTGTCCGGGAGGCTACGGTGGCGCTCTCTGTGATCAGAGGGTAAGAAAAAGCATTAAGAAAAGGGTGAAAACAAGTGCGATGAGAAAATTGAAAACGTTTCAGCCAACAGGATGTGGGAAAGATCTCGCGGCAACAACTGAGAAGCAAATTGTCAATCAAAGACTAGGCAGTGGATCCGACCTTAGGGAAGAGTTCGACTATTGCAATTACATGATTTCTGTACGACTGTTTGGATAACTGTTATCGCTGAGTGTGGATTATAAATGCATTCAGGCTCCTGAAGGGAAAAAAATCGAAGTAGACGTTCTGTCGATGTCTCGTGGTTACGATAAAGGTGGATGTCCAAAGGGAGGAGTGGAGATCAAGGCTCAAGCTGATCAAAAGTTGACGGGTTATCGGTTAGTGTCAGTACTCGATAATTTCTCAATTATTAGCACAAACTCTCATGTTTTCTCTCCCAGGTTTTGCTCGAGCAGAGGCACCTGGAGTGCCATCGTCTCCAGCTCTAATGTAGTTCCTGTGATCCTGTTTAACCGCTTCGGCACAATGGAGACGAACTTCACGTATCGTTATATTGACTGAAAGCGAAGGCGAAGTCGCGTTCAAACGAAACAAAACCTTTTACGAGCCAAATTATTTCATTGGTAATAAAAAATCCGCAGAAAAATGAAGAGCAAAAATCTTTCTCAAAGATGTGCACCAAGAAGATATAATGAATGGCTTGTAAGAATTTCGCCATTCACTGCATTAGTCGGACCATAATGCGAGCTTATCTCTACCAGCGAATTTCGTTCTTCTTGAAAGCGTAATTTCTAAGAAAAAATGATGTGTATACTCACATACGATGAGAGCTCAAGCGACTGCTAAATTGCAACTTTCAAGTCATTCACGGGTTTTCCAAAGAGACCGAATGAATGAGGCGGGACAATTTCGAAGCGCTCAAAACACAAAAAAAATGAATAGTTTATAGTATGTACTAGTAACTTCACTTAATACTTAAGTTACGAAATATTGAAGAAAAGCTAACGGAAATAAGAAAAGACAACAGAGCAGCATCGGCTTGTAAAGGAAAACGGGCAAGCAAGTTCTCATAAAATGGCCCTCCGTGATTTAGCAAACACATTAAGAAAAGTCCATCTCGTTCTCGAACGCGAACTGCTTCCAGTTTTATCCGACCACCAACAAGGCCCTCAATTTTCTGCAGTGACGACCTGCTCACCGAATTTTTTTCCCTGGCGGCCACTCATTAAGTTGGGTGGGAGTCATATAACACAAGTGGTATAGCCAGGGATTCACGCCTATGCCGAATCTTCTCCCTGCAGCACTTGTTGCTTTTTGTGTACTCAGTTTGTTGCAGTGCTGGTGACAGTACGTGGGAACTTCTTCTTTACAAAAGAAGGTGGCCTATGGAATGCCAGTTTTTGATCCACAAATGAGTAAACTGATTCCAACGCAGCCAACAGCTATATTACTTTAAGGTTGCTATGCGTTCTTGCAATTCACCTCGGCTGTATCGAGCTTTTGTACAGTTAGAAACGACAACTTCTACACAAATTCAATGACTGTTATTACTAAGTCCGAACAATTTTTAAAAAATTAGTTGACCTAGTAGATACTTGATACTTGAACGGCCCGTCCTCACTGGTGGTGCGGGAAGCAGCATAATCACCATTTTTCGGAGATTTGCTGGTCAAGCCATTGTGGGTCACTGGAATTCCGAGGTCAGCCCAGCCAATCGCATCCCTTGTGGATCAGAGGGAGATTTGCCACCATGCGATTTTGATACCAAGACGGTGGCTGGTCCTGGTATTGGTTTACTAGGTTTACTGATGGAAACGTCGGACTCCTTTTCAGCCTGGGAGACCCGGCCAAGGGATAAATCTTCAGCTGTACATCACAACATCACAGTCCGACACCCAGGAACACATCCCAACCACGATGAGGCGGTAAACCGTTAGGAAAGACTTAGTAGATACCCCACACTATTAAAGCACATTGTAGTTAAAGAATTCCGCTGATAGAAGTGAAGAAAGGAATGGTTGCGTCGTTTTCTTGTTCAGCAATCCCAGGGTTGTTAAACAGCATATATTTGCTTCCATAGAAAAATACACAATACATTACAATATTAGCTGACGTTTCGGCAGTATCGCCATCTTCAGAGTAGCTTTTTACGTGGCTCTCTGTCAGCAACCATATGCGACTACATTCAGCTGTTCTAATCTCATTCATTGAAAGTCACATAAAAAGCGGCTCTAAGAAGCCGATACTGCCGAAACGTCAGCTACTACGGTATTGTTTTGTGCATTTTTCTATGGAAGTAAACGTATGCTGTTTAACGACCTTGCGATTGCTGAGAAAGAAAAAGCACAGTCATATTCCAATGTCGAAGTTAATAGAAAGTCGATTTTGGGAAAGAATGGTATTTAACACCAGATGGACATTGCGTTTCTGTGGCAAGGGTAACAATAAGGCATCGAATCAACCTGGTCAATAAAAATATTGTGAGAATGAGATTACCATAGTCTGGATGAGTTGCGGTCATCACCACACTTTTTATTTCAAGACGGCAGACAACCTGGATTTCGCCTTTTTCGCAAGCATCTAAGTTGCCTGGTCTCTCAGAAATTTGTGAAATAAAACTGACTAGCCGGTTGAAATTCACTCATGAGTTCAATCATACGCTTCAGAAACAAGTCGATTTCGTTATATTTAAATTTTCTGCAATAACTTCTAGCGTAGCAACACTGTACATAGACCATTCATTTCAAGTTGCACCGAGAGCCTCGAACCAGTTGTCTGATGACTGACAAATTACAAGTGTTTTACTGTCACAATGCTTCATCTTTTTATTTGCTGCCTACTATAATTCTTCACGGTAGGGCATCATGCGAAATACAACCACAAGGATGCTAAGATATTTGCGAAACTGATTTGAGCCCATGATTTATTGTGGAATAATCCCAAGTTCTTTCCAGAAAACTCGAAATAATTTGTATGCCTTGAGGAGCATGGTGCTATTTCGATTCAACTCCGGGCCAACAAGGCCTCTCATCCCTCCTGGGTCAAGAAATTGGCACTGGACTTGTCTGAGAACAAACCACTCTCTGCAATCTAATTGGGCACGCTCCAGCCCGGTTATATCAGGACTCCAGGGAGGATTTCTCTACCAGCATTCCATGACATTCAAAGATGAAATAAAATCCTCAAGCAGCAACCGAAGCCACGCCTAAAAACTTGGAAGACCTTCGTGGACGATGGATGCAAGGAAACGAATTGGATTTGAGATGTGCTGGGATTCGCACAGTAAATGTGAAGACGGATCAAACGAAATGAAAATGAAATGGAAAAAATAATTTGTTTGTCTCTCAGGTAGTTTTATAGATTCGTGCCGTCAGCAATCAGCCGTCAACGGGATTGATCTGTGGAGCCCACATCGGCACTGAACCCAGTTAAGCTGAGGCCGTAATTAGAATCAAAATGTTCTACCTTTCATATTCTGCCTAGTTCTATTTTCACAAAAGGGTATTAAGCGGAATACAACCACCAACGTTGCTGAGATATATGCATAACTCCGGACCGCAGGTGTCGGCGGTGGGGGGGAACGAACGCGTTATTACCCTTTCCGGGGCTAACGCGTTCACCACCACACCATGCGGGTCCTTCGCTTTTCCTGAGCAATCCCGTTGACGAGCGACTGCTGATGCCGCTGATCGATAGGACTAGAGACTAGAGACTGAGAGACAGGCGAAACAAAGGACCCGCTTGGCGTGGTGGTCCAGTGGATTCGACTCTGTGCGACTAAAAAGGCCGAGGTCGAAAGAACGAAAGGCTTTTGGGAATCCACTAGAATTATTACAGCTCTGAAGAAGATATGGCTGCCAAAATGTTAACCGAATAAAGTTGCATATCACATTCGTACTAGGTTGTTAACGAAAGAATGGTAGACACTATTTCTAGTATCGTTCGATGCCAGGCGCCTTCAGTAGAAGCGAACTTTCATAGACGCCTACTTCCGGATTTATGGTGTGAAGAAATCAAAAGCTTTTGATGTATGATCTTCTGGTAGAACTTTTTGAGGTCCAAAAAGAGGCATCAACTTTGTGTTTGCTATAGCTTGATACCGGTGTGGAAACGGCGAAGGTTGTGAAAATTGGCATTCGTGCACTTCTCTTCAACTCTAATCGCCCGTCTTCGGCTGTTAGTTGTTTAAATGAGCGTATGTTTATGCCCAAACTTGTGTTGTAAAAATGCCAACACCGTTGACTTCTCTATTTCAACATGTTCCCGGGAACAGTATCAAAAACTGCGTTGAATGTGCGGTGTATTCTCGTCTCATCTGGAATGTACCTTTTCATTTGACCTTGCACCATCCGCTCCTCAACAGAGGATTCAGGTTCAAGTTAAAGTGCATTGTGGCTACAGGTGGGCACCGTAGTTCTTCGAAGCTTCGCCCTCGAATGGCTTGGAAATTTTAGCAGTCACTCCGTACTCGTCCTACCCAACGCTACCCAGCCGAGGGTGTTTAACATTAGGGAAATAAGGTTGAGTTTCTTTCTGTGTTTCGCTCTTCATACCTACTCATAGCTTGTTCGGCTGTAGAGGTGAAAAACGGATTTGTTCAAGGATGAGTTGTCAGATTTTTCAGTGAAGATACCGAGCTTATTTTATGGTGGTAACTCCTAACCACCTACCAGGTAGTTTCCAGTCACTTGACTACAGTCTTTTGTTGAATGCCGAGTCACACACGTGCGTCTTCAAAATAAATTGCAGCTACGCCACTCATAAAAATTATGTATGACCCTTATCAAAACAATATTAATATTAATACAACAATAATGATGCAATAAAGTCAACAAATGCTCATGAATCCAATGTGGTAGCAATAAAATCCATACTCAAGTACAATGTGAAGAATATGGAGGAACACTGGTAAACAGAAAGTAATAGTTACTTAACCCTTTCACGACGGCTGCCATTTCCGCTCGTCGGGCTCGTCGGATCCTGTGTCATTGCAGAGCAATGGAAACTCGCTTTAACTCAAGATGTAGGCTCAATGAGGCCGTACAATAGACAAGACGCACTTATTTCTTGAAGGTGTGCTATTATTCGGTTTCCTAAGATTTTCTCCTTGCCTCTGTACCTTTTCATATTGACTACGTCCTTCTGTGTGTGTACTCCCATGTTCTTGGAAAACATGGAAACGAAAGTCGTCTATTTACCAACCAGGATTTTGTCATCTTTCAGCGTGGTTTTGTTTGATAGATAAAGTGTATATCTGCGTCTTTTTATGTTTTCTATATCAAATGATTCTACTCCACCTTCCAAGACGGGTTTTGCAAGTGTAGCTGAGAATACCTATCCAAGGACCAGCCTCGGAATGCAATCTCAGTTCGAAAATCCACTAAAGAGTCATGAAGCTGTTGTATAACCAAAAGGCAATGTATCTGCTTAAAAATGCTGAAAGAGAAGCAATTCAGTAGCTCATGGATCTCTTGCCTGAACTGCTCAATCTTCAGTTGATCTGGAAAATGTTGCACTCAAATAAGAGGGTTAACAATGGCACAGCAACAAGCCTTACCACT